TTTTTTAAAATTCTCTTTTCTTTCTCTATGCTGGATTAGGTAAATTCAAAAGCCTTGTCAAGCTCTGAAATTCTTTGTTGTATTTGTTTGATTCTATTGCTGAGAGTTTCCATTGTAAAGTGCATCCTTCATTTCCAGAAGTTGTGATTGTTTTTTATTTATGCTATTTCTCTGGAGATTTTCTCATCCATATCCTGTAACATTTTAAAAATTTCTTTAAGTTGGTATTCACCTTTCCCTGGTGCCTCCTTGAGTAGCTTAACAATTGACCTTCTGAATTATTTTTCTGGCAATTTAGAGATTTCTTTTTGGTTTAGATTCATTGCTGGTGAGCTAGTATGATCTTTTGGGAGTATTAAAGAACCGCGTTTTGCCATATTATCAGAATTATTTTTCTGGTTCCTTCTCATTTGTGTGGACTATGTCAGAGGGAAGATTTGGGGCTGAAGGGCTGCTATTGAGATTCTTTTGTCCCGCAGGGTGTTCCTTTGATGTAGTGCTCTCCCTCTTCCTTAGGGATACTGCTTCCTGAGAGGCAAACTGCAGTGATTGTTATTTCTCTTTTGGATCTAGCCACCCAGCAGAGCTAATAGGCTGTAGCCTGGTACTGGGGAGTATCTGCAAAGAGTATTGTGATGTGATCTGTCTTGAGGTCTCTCAGCCATGGATACCAGCACCTGCTCTGGTGGAGGTAGCAGGGAGTGAAGTGGACTCTGTGAGGATCCTTGGTTGTGTTTTTGTTTAGTGTGCTAGTTTTGTGTTGGTTGGCCTCTAGCATGGAGGTGGCACTTTCAAGAGAGTATAGGGAGAATCAGCAGTGGGCAGGGCCATAGAACTCCCAAGAGATTATGTCCTTTGTCTTTGGCTACCAGGGCAGATAGAGACAGACCATTAGGTGGGGGCAGGGTTAGGTGTGTCTGAGCTTAGACTCTCCTTGGATAGAGGTTGCTGCAGCTGCTGTGGGTATGTGGGTGTAGTTCTCAGGCCAATGAAGTTATATTCCCAGGAGGATTAAGACTGCCTTTGTTTTGTCATGCATGTTGCCAGGGAAGTGGGTGAAAGCTGACAGTTACAGGCTCCAACAGCTCCCATGCAACCCAAGAGGCGGGGTTGCCCCATCCTCAGTTGCACTGAGTTTATTTCCAGGCAGCCAGTCAGCAGGGATGAGAACTTACCCAGGCTTCATACCTCCCCACTGAGGAAGCAAGCAGGGCTTTCAGGTTTCATGCCTCCCTGCCTGCCACAGCTTCTATGCTTTGTTTCTGCACTCCTGGTTTGCCCCTCCCCCAGGTTCTGTTCAGGAAACTTTGTGTTTGGTGGAAGTGGTTACAAAGTTCAGCCGAAAATTTCATTCTCCCTGTGGTCTTTCCCTAGTTCCACTGGCAGCCCTCCCAGGGATCCCTGAGAAACATAGAAATGCTTCCCTGGGGATGGAGAATTCCCACAGGGCTCTCCCTGCTCCTTCCCCTACCCCTGTATTTGGCTCAGCTGTCTAAATTGTCTCAGTTCCAAGCAATGTCAAATTCTTCTCCTGTGATCTGGACCTTCAGGTTCACCAGTGAGGAAGTGTGTTTGGGGGCAGATGATCCCCCTTTTCACACTTTCACACCTCGGGCACTCACAGTTTTCTGGCTGTGTCATATAGCCTACAGCCTGCCTGTTTGTGTACTGGGTTCTCATGTAAAATATATTTCTTCCCATAGGTTTCAGTAAAAGGAAAAGAAAAGTAAGTCACTGGCTTATTTAATCATCATGAAAACTTTATAAGGCGGGAATTCTCTCCATTTTACAAATGAAACCAAGATTCTTGAGTCAATGGAGTTAAATAATTTACCTTTGGTTATGTAGCTCATTAGTGGTTGAGCCTGAATTTCATGCAAATTTTTTGACCTCAAAACAACTTCTTTTGGGCTGGGCACAGTGGCTCATGCCTGTAATCCCAGCACTTTGGGAGGCCAAGGTAGGAGAATTGCTTGTGTCCAAGACTTCATGACCAGCCTGGGCAATATAGTAAGACCCAAAAAATAAAAAATAAGCTGGGCATGGTCATGTGCACCTGTCATTGCAGCTACTCGGGAGGCTGAGGTGGGAGGATCGCTTGAGCTTGGGAGTTTGAGGCTGCTGTGAGCCACTATCGTGCCACTTCATCAGCCTGTGTGACAGAGTGAGACTTTGTCTCAAGGGAATTCTTTTGGCTGCTTTCAGAACACTCTGACATGCTGTTTTATATTGTTTGGCCTGATGGAAGAGGAGCTGAGTCTCCATAAACAGACTTACTGTGGAAGCCCAGAAATCAAGGAGAAGACCCCTGTTTCTCTTCCCCTGTAGAAGGGAGTCAGTTTCTCAGCCATCAAAGCTTTCTCACCGCATCTGCAGCATTTGCTGCATGTAAGAAATGTAGCAAATTTTAAAAGGCTTTTGACTCAGAACCGTGCTCTGTTCATATGAGTGCTTGATGAATCCTGATCGAACTAGACCTTAGTAAACAGGAACTGTTTGCCTGCCATATGACTCCTTTGGCGGGAAGATATGTATTCAATTAGAATTTTAATTAAAAATTAAAAGTCCCTTTGTCTCTTCTAATGGACTCATCTTTCTCATAAAAGATTTCATTTTGACTGTAATTTTGCCAATGTGGTTTTTCTTGGTAAAATTAAAACGTCATAACTTCTGCAAACAGGATATCAAATGCTTGTCAGTGCTTGAGGAGAAAGCATATTATTGTGTCCGATTTAAGTGCTGTAACATAGTCTGATAATTGGTTGAAGAACTGTCAGGAAAAGATAGTTAATGAATATGGAGAATTTCGAAGAAAAGTGAGGTGCCAGATCGAGTATTGAGGAATCCATTGTATACTTGGTTTAGATGACTGTCTTTAGTTATGAATATTGTTTTTAAACAGTAAAGTCACACGAATAAATTCCTAGTAATATACTAAAGGTCAAACAGCCCAACAAATGAATAGTTTCAAATGTAGATATATTAAAGAAGAAGTACTAATAGTCTGTGAGCAAGCCAGTATTGAAAGCGAATGTCATTGAGCTTATTGATGAATTAAAACGAATGGATACAGGTGGGAAATAAATTTGATAAAAATGCAGCAACGAAAAAGGAGAGAGATGTTATCTGGAGTTCTTTGACCCTTAAGATATTTAGTTAATTATTGTTGATGTTGCTGTTGCTTTAGATGTGGTGGTATAGATTACAAGACTTACGTCAGCAGCCATATACGTTATGACAATGCTTGTTTTTCAGCTTTTCTTCTTAAAAAAATGAAATGTTGCTATATACATCTGTCTAGTCTCTTCAGCCCACTTATGCTTATGAGCACGTGTATTTATTAATATGCATTTGCTTCAATTTACCACTTAGCTCATAAGATCTTTCAGAAGAGGGACCATGAATCTTGTTGGCTTGCCCTAAAAGATAGTGTAAGGCATATTCCTAGGTGGATTATTACACTGTTGTAAGTGATTTTTTATTTATTTAGCAAATGCCTACATAGTACTGTGCATTGAACACTTGTAAGTGAACTGTTATATACTAATTAATTTTATCCTTCTGACAACCCTTATGCAGTAAGTATAATCATTGTTCTCATTTTATATAGAGGAACCTAGAAATTAAGTAACTCAGTTTATAGTTGGAAAATTGGGACTCGTACCCCAGCAACGCAGCTATAGAGTCAGTGTGCCTGCCATGACACCAGTCTTCTCTACCCTTTCTCTCTTAAATCAGAGAGTATCAACCACTGCATGAGGTTGTGATCCTCCCTTTTTCCTTCAGGCTTGGTTGGAGGAACAGCCCTTCACCCTCTCCCATTTGGGGCACTGACCACAATGTTTCAAATTATGTTGGTATGGTTTCCTCTTTCTGAATTTCTACCACATACCAGTTTGTCACTTAAAGTAGTCCATATTAGCACCAGCACAATTTTAATATTCTTATACTTTTTTCTCAATATAGTAGGAAGAAATACAAATGCATACATTAAAGCACGAATTTATTTTAACTATAGCACCTACAGTGCTCACTTACTATAGGGGTATAACTTGGTTTCATTTCTATTATGCTAAAAATATTTGTCTTTTGTGTGTGGAGCTGTTTCCAAACTTGTTAATTGCTCCCAGCTACTCTATCATGTCCCTTCAGGTTACAGACATCACAGGATAGATGGAAAATAACATGATTCAAGATAATGATCTGCATGCTGAGGGAAGAATTCTGCTTTCAGATTATATTAAAAGCATTTTCAGTATTTCAGCCATCCAATTTTGAATTGTTTTTGAGAGACTGAGTATACAGAGACAATGGCTATATCACAGGACAATAGAACTCTCACCCACAACCTCTAAAGCAACCATTCTAGGAGGCCAAACCACAGCCTCTGTAACAGTCAGTACAGGATGGTGAGGGTTTGATCAATGACTGCTGGCTTCCCTAATTTTTGCCCCTGCCTCCAACTCAGTACCAAATAGATAAAACCAAATATGCTTCCCAAACTAATCACATAGCATATACCACTTCTAGGCCTGTCTCCAACGTCCCCATGACTGAAATCCCAATCAGGGCATACCTGAAGCCTCCCCTTTCTTTTAGCATAGATTTCTCATGTCTCTGCCTGCCTTTGAGTCTCTGCCAAATGCAAGTGATGATGGCTGACTCCCTTGTGATAGCAAACTCTGAGTACATAAGTAGCCTCTGGGTTTTATTTCCTTACTTTCAAAAGAAATAGTCCCCTCTTGCTTCATTTGCCAGAAAATTGTTTATTATATTAATTCCTCACCTTTCAATGGTGTCCATAAGAGATATCTGAAAGGGTTGACAAACATCTGGATAGCCAAAGTGTTATTTAGATGTGTATGTAAGTTGTGGCAAAATTAAAACTTAAAAATATTAGTTTTATCATTGTCTTAAAATATTTTGCCCCTTGTCTACTTGTAATTGGATATGTTTGCCCCTAGTATTATTTAAAAAATCGAGAAACAAAGCAAAGATACATTAAGGAGAGTTTTATTGTAAAGATAGGCAGGACCTACAATTTTACATTTTTTCAAGTGTACAAAAACTCTCAGAGTAGAGATTTATGTCTGTCATACCAGCAGACAGATTACTTATAAATTGGGAAAGGGAAAGTTCATTTTTTGCCAAACTGAGGCAGAGGGGGTGGCACCTTAATATCTTGGCCTCTCTCCAACTTCTTTTCACAATCCACCAGGTAATTGACTCCATCGATGACTATCTGAACAAGCTCCACCTTTGACAGTGAAGAAGATGAATTATTAATTTGAATAGAAGACACCTGCAGGGCATTGATTAACAGGAACAACACTGGGATCAATGAGAACTTGCCACTTAGATGGACTTCACAACAATTTCTTCCTTCTCAAAAATGGAAGGTAGAGATATTTTAAGGGGTTCTCTCAGTCTTGCCATAGTTAAGATGGGGTTACTACTTTGTATGTGAAAGCTTTTTTACTATATGAAAAGCATTAGTTGGCATCTCAAATTTTTTTGCCTATCTGCTATAAAATGTGAGAGTTTGTCTAGAAATAAGACACCACAATGCCACCCTTGTGGTGTTCTTTGGCCTGGATCTGAATTCTGACCTGTCACTAATCTGTCTGAGCACTGGATATGCCAGTGTAGTTCAGATGTCATAATTTACACAGTGGGCATCTTCCTGAAAAATTATGTAACGTCAAATGTTTGTCAGCTAAATCACGTTTGTACTAGGCTAGGCAGACTTATTAATGAAATGAAGTTTTGCAAATTATATTAAGATATACTTTCTAAAATTCCTGCTCTTAAAAAACTATGTTTAGAACTTTGGTTTCCAAATATTGGTTTTCGTTAAACCAGAGCACATCTACTTAAAATTTTTTTCCCCTTGGGATCCCCTCCTAAGCAAATGACTTGCACTGTTCCCAAGGAAACCCAAATTCAGAGAGAAATTAGTTAATTTCAAACAATACATGATACAGCTAAAAAAAGAATGGCAAGGGTGAAAGGGATCATTGAATGTTAGTGCTTAGGCATCACAGATTCCAGCTGCCTCCCTGTCTCTTTATATGCATAAGGAAACTTAGGCCCCAAGAGAGGGTTGAATCAGAAAGTTAGTCACTACTAACTAAAGAAACGTATTTTCTACTTGTCCCTTTGGTCTCTTCTAGTGTTGGCGAGAGTGTGATGAGATGGGTCTGTCACTCACTGCCAGTAGGACTCTATCTTGGTATAAATCTGGTAAAAAACTTGGTCATAAATAGGGCCCCCTGCTTTTAACCCCCAATTCCTTTCCTAGAAGTATATTCTAACTAAATAACCAGAGTTGTGATTAGAATTATATGTAGAGATGGTCAAACATAAAATCAGGAAAACATTAAATAGACAATGGATTATCTTTACTATGATTAAAAATCATGTGTTTGAAGAATACTTAATATTTTGGGAAAATGCTCATGATATAATACATTGGAAAAAATTATAAGTAGTATTTGGTTATAATACTAAAATATGTGTTCCAACGATTTCTTTAAAGTTTTTTGAGTAGATTTAAAGAATGAAGGGCCATTTAGAATAATGTTCACAGTGGTTAGCAGGGTTGTTGGGTTAAATAAATGGTGTTTTAAAATTATTTTTTGGCACTTTGCTCACTTTTATGACTGCCTATCATAGTTAGACTTGAAAATTTAAGCATTAACTACATGGTTTTCCAGTAATAAATATCTAGTTAATGTTAGAATCAACAGGGATAGACTCCCAGATTTTCTTTATTCACTACACCACACATTATTCAGTAAATTTCAGAGGTTGTGGTATTATAGTTGCTTGTCCCTCAGGTACTTTACCACAGCTGATAGCACACAGGCTGATCTAATTGTTTGGATGTTTCTTCCTTTCCTTTTCCTCAGTGTACAGGTGGGATATCAATAGGCAGTGAAATATTCAAAAACTGGTAAGGAAGAAGACAGTTTCGATAATCCATAGATTTAATAACCAGTCACTGAATCATTAAGAGTTTTGTTATGAGAGGAGCCTTTTAAATTAATGATGGGCATGATCTGTCCAATGAGACCACATCCAGATAAGCTGGTATAACTTACCATGATCAGTATTTGCTTAGCATTCAGCTGCATGTTCCTTATATGTGATCTTTTTGCCTCATTGTTCAGGGCCACACATAGTCTATGAATCCTTTTCATCCTACATATTCATCACAGAATCCTAAGGATTTTATGAACACAAACTTATCTAGACCTGGCACATGACATATTTGCTATCTTTAGCCTAAGAAATAAAAGTGTAGATACCATCAAGCATCTAAGAACACCAAAGTAAAGATGATAAGAACACCAAAGAAAATTCACAATCAATAGAAAATTCCACTATTTTGTCACCCTTCCAAGGGATAGCACAGATGTTCTGACTTTAAAGTAATAAAATACTTCAGTCTTTTAGCATAATAGAGCTCCTGCTTGCTGAAGATTGTTGGAATACTCTTAAGGCAGGTTGGTGACAACAGCCTCACTGTAAATTCCTATACTTGCCTGTAAATTCTCAGCTCACATTATGTTTACCTTTATGCAGTTATTTCCCATGGAAGAATAATGTTACAGAATGAAAAGCTAACTTAACTCAGGACTCGATGGGTGAAAAGGTGGTCTTGAATTCTGTGAAAACGGTAAGGCTGTTTAGGCTGCTTTTCTCTTTTCTCTCAGGCTGATTTTGTTAATTCATGTTAGGAAAGTGAGAGAGACATTACCTCTGATCGACCAATTCTGTCTATGTTGGAAATGTCGTACACATCTGCAACCGCGGCAGTGTCCACACCACCTGTGCCACGCTTCTGGAGTCTTAGGTTTTCCAGGATCTTAGAAAAGCGTGGGTCCTAGGACAAGGGAATAATACTTAAATGCAGTAAGAGGCAAAAATCGATTCATAATCGTTGGTACATTTACTTAGAAAAGACATATAGTAAGATAACAGTTTAACTTTTTTTTCTTATACTTTTAAGTTCTGGGATACCTGTGCAGAACATGCAGGTTTGTTACATAGGTATACATGTGCCATGGTGATTTGCTGTGCCCATCAACCCATCATCTACATTAGGTATTTCTCCTAATGCTGTCCCTATCCCCTAGCCCCCCACGCCCTGACAGGCCCCAGTGTGTGACATTCCCTTCCCTGTGTCCATGTGTTCTCATTGTTCAATTCCTACTTATAAGTGAGAACATGCAGTATTTGGTTTTTGGTTCCTGTGTTTGTTTGCTGACAATTATGGTTTCTAGCTTCATCCATATCCCTGCAAAGGACATAAATTCATCCTCTTTTATGTGTTCCATGGTGTATATGTGCCACATTTTCTTTATCCAGTCTATCATTGATTGGTATTTGAGTTGCTTCCAAGTGTTTGCTATTGTGAGCAGTGCTGTAGTAAACACATATTTGCATGTGTCTTTATAGTAGAATGATTTATAATCCTTTGAGTATATTACCCAGTAATGGGATTGCTAAGTCAATTGGTATTTCTGGTTCTAGATCCTTGAGGAATCACCACACTGTCTTCCACAATGGTTGAACTAATTTTACACTCCCACCAGCAGTGTAAAAGCATTCCTATTTCTCCACATCCTCTCCAGCATCTGTTGTTTTGTGATTTTTTTTTTAATGATTGCCATTCTACTGGCATGAGATGGTTTATCGATGTGGTTTTGATTTGCATTTCTCTAGTGACCAGTGATGATGAGCTTTCTTTCATATGTCAGTTGACCCCTTAAATGTCTTCTTGTGAGAAGTGCTTGTTCATATTGTTCACCCACTTTTTGATGAGGTTGTTTTTTTCTTGCAAATTTAAGTTCTTTGCAGATTCTGGATATTAGCCATTTGTCAGATGGAAAGATGGCAAAAATTTTCTCCGATTCTGTAGGTTGCCAGTTCACTCTGATAATTTATTTTGCTGTGCAGAAGCTCTTCAGTTTAATTAGATCCCATTTGTCAATTTTGGCTTTTGTTGCCATTGCTTTGGGCATTTTAGTCATGAAGTCTTTGCCCATGCCTATGTCTTGAATGGTATTGCCTAGGTTTTCTTCTAGGTTTTTTTTATGGTTTTAGGTCTTATGTTTAAGGCTTTAATCCATCCTGAGTTAATTTTTGTATAAGGTGTAAGGAAGGGGTCCAGTTTCAGTTTTCTTCATATGGCTATCCAGTTTTCCCAACGCCATTTATTAAATAGGGAATTCTTTCCCCATTGCTTGTATTTATTAGGTTTGTCAAAGATCAGATGGTTATAGATTTGTGGTGTTATTTCTGAGGCCTCTGTTCTGTTCCATTGGTCTATATATCTGTTTTGGTACCAGTACCATGCTGTTTTGGTTACTGTAGCCTTGTAATATAGTTTGAAGTCAGGTAGCATGATGCTTCCAGCTTTGTTCTTTATGCTTAGGATTGTCTTGGCTAAAGGGGCTCTTTTTTGATTCTATGTGAAATTTAAAGTAGTTTTTCCTAAATCTGTGAAGAAAGTCAGTGGTAACTATACAGGCTCTTTTTTGGTTCCATATGAAATTTAAAGTAGTTTTTTCTAATTCTGTGAAGGAAGTCCATGGTAGCTTGATGGGGATGGCATTGAATCTATAAATTACTTTGGGCAGTATGGCCATTTTCACGATACTGATTCTTCCTATCCATGAGCATGGAATGTTTTTCCATTTGTGTCCTCTCTTATTTCCTTGAGCAGTGGGTTGTAGTTCTTCTTGAAGAGGTCCTTCACATCCCTTCTAAGTTGTATTCTTTGGTATTTTATTCTCTTTATAGCAATCTGGAATGGGAGTTCACTCATAATTTGGCTATTTTTGGTGTATAGGAATGCTTTTTGATTTTTGCACACTGATTTTGTATCCTGAGACTTTTCTGAAATTGCTTATCAGCTTAAGAAGATTTTGGGGCAAGACAATGGATTTTCTCTTTTTTTTGAGACGGAGTTTCACTCTTGTACCCAGGCTGCAGTGCAATGGCGCAATCTCGGCTCACCGCAACCTCCGCCTCCTGGGTTCAGGCAGTTCTCCTGCCTCAGCCTCCTGAGTAGCTGGGATTACAGGCACGCGCCACCATGCCCAGCTAATTTTCTGTATTTTTAGTAGAGACGGGGTTTCACCATGTTGACCAGGATGGTCGCAATCTCTTGACCTCGTGATGCACCCCCCTCGGCCTCCCAGAGTGCTGGGATTACAGGCTTGAGCCACCGTGCCTGGGGACAATGGAGTTTTCTAAATACACAATCATGTCATCTGTGAACAGCCAATTTGACTTCCTCTCTTCCTATTTGAATACCTTTTATTTCTTTCTCTTGCCTGACTTCCCTGGCCAGAACTTACAATACTATGTTGAATAGGAGTGGTGAGAGAGGGTATTCTTGTCTTGTGCCTGATTTCAAAGGGAGTGCTTCCAGCTTTTGCCCATTTAGTATGATATTGGCTGTGGCTTTGTCATAAATAGCTCTTATTTTGAGATACGTCCCATCAATACCTAGTTTATTGAGAGTTTTTAATATGAAGAGATGTTGAATTTTATCGAAAGCCTTTTCTGCATCTGTTGAATTAATCGTGGGTTTTGCCACTGATTCTGTTTATGCACTAGATTATGTTTGTTGATTTGCAGATGTTGAAGTAGCCTTGCAGCCCAGGGATGAAGCTGGCTTGATCGTGGTGGATAAGCTTTTACATGTGCTGCTGGACTTGGTTTGCTAGTATTTTATCGTTATAATTAAAATAATGATGTTCATCAGGGATACTGACCTGAAATTTTGTTTTTTTTTGTTGTGTCTCTACCAGGTTTTGGTATCAGGATGATGCTGGCCTCATAAAATAAGTTAGGGAGGAGTCCCTCTTTTTCTGTTGTTTGGAATAATTTCAGAAGGAATGCTACCAGCTCCCCTTTGTACCTCTGATAGAAGTTGGCTGTGAATCCGTCTGGTCCTGAGCTTGTTTTGGTTGGTAAGCTATTAATTACTGCTTCAATTTCAGAAGTTGTTATTGGTGTATTCAGGGATTTGATTCTTCCTGGTTTAGTCTTGGGAGGTGTGTATGTCCAGGAATTTATCCATTCTTTCTAGATTTTCTAGTTTATTTGTGTAGAGGTTTTTGTAGTATTCTCTGGTGGTAGTTTGTATTTCTGTGAGATCAGTGGTGATACCTCCTCTTTTTTTTTTTGAGACGGAGTTCCACTCTTGTTACCCAGGCTGGAGTGCAATGGTGTGATCTTGGCTGACCGTAACCTCCGCCTCCTGGGTTCAAGCAATTCTCCTCCCTCAGCCTCCCGAGTAGCTGGGACTACAGGCACGCGCCACCATGCCCAGCTAATTTTTGTACTTTTAGTAGAGACGAGTTTTCACCATGTTGACCAGGATGGTCTCAATCTCTTGACCTCATGATCCACCCACCTCAGCCTCCCAAAGTCCTGGGATTATAGACGTGAGCCACCACGCCCAGCCTATCATTTTTTTTTTTAAATCTATTTGATTCTTTTCTCTTTTTTCTTTATTAGTTGGCTAGCAGTCTATTTTGTTAATCTTTTCAAAAAACCAGCTCCTGGATTCCTAGATTTTTTTTTTTTTTTGAAGGGTTTCTTACCTCTCTCTCTCTCCTTCACTTCTGCTCTGATCTTAGTTATTTCTTGTCTTCTGCTAGCTTTTGAATGTGTTTGCTCTGCTTCTTTAGTTCTTTTAATTGTGATGTTAGGGCGTCAGTTTTAGATCTTTCCTGCTTTCTTCTGTGGGCATTTAGTGCTGCAGATTTCCCTCTGCATACTACTTTAGCTGTGTCCCAGAGACTCTGGCACATTGGATCTCTGTTCACATTGGTTTCAAAGAACTTATTTACTTCTGCCTTATTTTCGTTATTTACCCAGGAGTAGGTTGTTCAGTTTCCATGTAGTTGTGTAGTTTTGAGTGAGTTTCTTTTTTTTTTTTTTTTGAGACGGAGTTTCGCTCTTGTTACCCAGGCTGGAGTGCAATGGCGCAATCTCGGCTCACTGCAACCTCCACCTCCTGGGTTCAGGCAATTCTCCTGCCTCAGCCTCCTGAGTAGCTGGGATTACAGGCACTCGCCACCATGCCCAGCTAATGTTTTGTATTTTTAATAGAGACGGGGTTTGACCAGGATGGTCTCGATCTCTTGACCTTGTGATCCACCCACCTTGGCCTCCCAAAGTGCAGGGATTACAGGCTTGAGCCACCACACCCGGCTTGAGTGAGTTTCTTAATCCTGAGTTCTAATTTGATTGCACTGTGGACTGAAAGACTGATTTCCATTCTTTTGCATTTGCTGAGGAGTGTTTTACTTCCAATTATGTGGTCAATTTTAGAAAAAGTATGATGTGGTACTGAGAAGAATGTATATTCTGTTGATTTGGGGTGGAGAGTTCTGTAGATGCCTGTTAGGTCCACTTGGTCCAGAGTCGAGTTCAAGTCCTGAAGATCCATGTTAATTTTCTGTCTTATTGATCTAATACTGACATTGGAGTGTTAAAGTCTCCCACTACTATTGTGTGGGAGTCTAAGTCTCTTTGTAGGTCTCTAAGAACTTGCTTTGTAAATCTGGGTGCTCTTGTATTGGGTGCATATATATTTAGGATAGTTAGCTCTTCTTGTTGCATTGATCCCTTTACCATTATGTAATGCCCTTTGTCTTTTTTGATCTTTGTTGGTTTAAAGTCTGTTTTACCAGAGACTAGGATTGCAACCCCTGCTTTTTTTGCTTTCCATTTGCTTGGTAAATCTTCCTCCATCCCTTTATTTTGAGCCAATGTGTATCCATGCATGTGAGATGGGTCTCCTGAATTCAGCACACTGATGAGTCTTGATTATTTATCCAATTTGTCACTCTTTGTCTTTTAATTGGAGCATTTAGCCTGTTTACATTTAAGGTTAATATTGTTATATGTGAATTTGATCCTGTCATTATGATGCTAACTGGTTGTTTTGCCCATTAGTTGATGCAGTTTGTTCATAGCATCCATGGTCTTTACAATTTGGTATGTTTTTGCAGTGGCTGGTACCGGTTTTTCCTTTCCATATTTAGTGCATCTTTTAGGAGCTCTTGTAAGGCAGGCCTAGTAGTGACAAAATCTCTCAGCATTTGCTCTCTGTGAAGGATTTTGTTTCTCCTTCACTTACAAAGCTTAGTTTGGCTGAATATGAAATTCTGAGCTGAGAATTCTTTAAGAATGTTGAATATTGGCCCCTACTCCCTTCTGGCTTGGAACTCCTGGACTCAAGGGATCGTCCTGCCTCTCGAGTAACTAGGACTATAAGCACACACTACTGTGCCTGGCTAATTTTTTTCATTTTGTAAAGATGAGGTCTCACATATTGTTCAGGCTGGTCTCGAACTCTGGGGCTCAAGTAATCCTCCCGCCTCGGCCAGAGTGCTGAGATTACAGGTGTGAGCCACTGTGGCTGGCTGAAACTTGTGTTCTTAACTTCCATATCATTTGGTTTTTGGTGCTAAGATGCCAGCATTGGTGTGTTTATTATTCGTTTACGTAACAGTTGTCATTGTTAAAATTAGAAAGTTAAATCACTTAAATTTCTTAGCTTTAAAATTTTGAACAAAAAATTTCTTTCTTTTTTTTTTTTTGGTAGGAAGCACATTTTCTAGAATTGTTTTAAAGTATTTGATTCACTTTGGGTGCTAAAACTACTAGTTGCCCACCAGAATCTTTTTCTTCTTCTAGCATAGGAGCTAGAAAGTGACCACTGGCCAAGTTCTTAGCTAATGAAACAAATGGAAGTAATGTGTGCCACTTCCAGGCCCAGAACTAAAATCTCTATATGCTGTCTCCCCTTTCCACAAGCTGGAACATGGGGCCTGACTGTGACCATGGAAATGGGGACAGTGCTGTAAGACAGCACTCCTCCAAGTGTAGCCCCTTGACCAACAGCTTCAGCATCTCCTGGAAACTTGTCAGAAATGCGAATTCCGTAGGTGGGGCCTACAACTTGTGTTTCACCCAGTCCTTCAGGTGATCTCATGCACACTCAAGTTTGAGAACTGCTTGAACTAAGAGAGACAGAGAAGGGAGATGGAAAGAACAGAGAGAGCATAGCCTAAGTATCCCGAGTTGTTACATGAGGAAAAATTTAAAGGTCATATTCTTGAAGCTACCATCTTTTTCTTAGTCTCCTTAACCTTTTATTCTAACTAATATAACTGTCTTTTGAGGCAAACTTAATTTTTTCTTATTATTTTTATATTACAGGTAGAGAAAGTAGAGTTAAGGAATGGGCAGTGACGTTTTCTCCCTCCACAAAGCAGTCACATCTGAGCTGATCCTGGCCCATCGGGGCCACTAGTCAGTCACATAACAGTACCTTGCTGAGCTTTGGGATCCTAACGTGGACACCGGCTCGTAGTCCTGTTCCAAGGTTTGAAGGACAGGTCAGAATGTATCCTAGGCGCTCATTCCACATGAACTCCCACCCTCGTTCTTGAATTAACCGTTCCACCTACAAGTAGAACCACAGTGAACAAATGACAGTATTTTCCAATATCCATTCATTCAGCACATCCCCAACACCAGGGAGAGAGATGTGTACCCTTCTCTGGCATGAATGAAATTAAGATAAATTTATAGTACTCCTTTAACAGAAAATAATACCTCTCCTACCAGACTATTAAAATGGTCCAATTAAGTTAAATGAACCATGTAAAGCAGTGGTCCCCAACCTTTTTGACATCAGAGACTGGTGTCTTGGAAGACAATTTTTCTACGGCCCATGGGGAGGGATTGTTCTGGGATGAAACTGTTGCTCCACCTCAGATCATCAGGCATTAGCTTCTCATGAGGCACTCGCAACCTAGATCCCACACATGCAGTTCACAATAGGGTTTGTGCTCCTGTGAAAATCTAATGCAGCCACTGATCTGACAGGAGGTGGAGCTTAGGTGTTAATGTTTGCTCACCCACCACTCACCTCCTGCTGTGCGGCCCAGTTCCTAACAGGCCATAGACTGGTACCAGATCCATGGCCCGGGGGTTGAGGACCCCTGATGTAAAGCAGTCACCACAGTACCTAGTACGCACTAAGCAGCACTCAATGAATGTTAGTTGGTGGCATTATTTTTCATGCCAAGAGAGTAGGAGAATATAGGAATTCTCAGCAGGTAAGTCTATGATGAGGCTACATTCTCTGTTGTCTCTCTGCTTAGAATAGCTCAGAGCAATATTAAATAAATCAAAAAAGAAATAATGATCCACAGACTTCCCCAAACCACAGTGGAATGGGGAGGAAAACATAATAGCTTTCTAATAACGAGAGAAAGTCACCTATTTTCTGAAGCACTACTTTGAAAGTTCCACTCCAAGAAATGCCTTGAGGCCTGCTCCTGTAATCCCAGCACTTTGGGAGGCTGAGGCAGGTAGATCACCTGAGGTCAGGAGTTCGGAATTAGCCTGACCAACATGGTAAAACCCAGTCTCTACTAAGAATACAAAAATTAACCAGGCATGGTGGCCAGCACCTGTAATCCCAGCTACTTTGGAGGCTGAGGTGGGAGAATCACTTGAACCCAGGAGGTGGCAGTTGCAGTGAGCTGAGACTATACCACTGCACTCCAGCATGGGCAACGAGCGAAATTCCGTCTCAATAAAAAAAAAGCCTTGATCTCTACAAAAAAAATGAGCCCCATCTTGGAAGTTACCATAGTGTCTTCTTTCAAGAACAAAAAATACGGTAATTTTATTTTAATAAATATCCAGAAATCTCAGATAACATCTTACTTCTTTTAGTCCACGACAGAATCGCTCAAACACTCGTTTCATATTGCCTCCTTTTTCCATTGAGATTACCCTGGTGTGATCTTCCTCATTTATCCAGATGAGAAATGTCTTATCATAATTATGCCTAATGAAGAGAGAAATATGGTGCTGAGTGTTAATTGCATTTGTTTCAACACATGAAAATTCCCATTACCTTCCTGGCTTGATTGCTTCATTTCACCTTCCTCATTTCCTAGATGGCCCTAATCTCTTAACTGTGCCTGAAAAAGTATGACAAAATAATGTTACCCTGACAGAAGGAAGAATAAGACCAGCTGTCACCATAAAAGATGTCATGTTTTTACCCAACAAGAATATAACTCCCCCTAGGTCCTCTGACTAGGATGACAGTAATTCAACTATGTAACATTGGCTTCGATACTAACAAGAATGTTTTATCTCCTAAAAGATTCAACCAAAATCTTGTGCTTTACAAAGGGGGTGGGGTTACCTTCCACCCAAGATGTTTAAGGTATACAGCATTTCACACGTTTGCACCATAGATCCTGCCTGTCCATCCCTACTGAGCGGCTGCTCATGAACACCTTTATTTCCACTACTTCAGGTATATTCACTCATAATAAGCTATCAGGGTACAGGAGGCAAAGTGGGCTGAGGACTGTTGGCCAAGATAAAATATATATATATATATATATATATATATATATATATATATATATACTAGATATCAGTTCTTTCAGGGTTTTTCTTAAATCCTCAATATTTTTTAAGTTTTGCTCTTTTAATGTCATGAAACAGATACTCTGTGAGGTCAAATAATATGAAGTAAATTTTTTCTTAAAAAGGTAGCCTTTTTTCTTAGGCATAATTCAGGCAAACCAGGTCACATTTCTACACATCTTAGTAACATCACAATACTTAGACACACACACACACACACAATTTTTAAGGCATGCTGTCAACTTCAGTACACAGCAACTCCAGGTTAGGATAAGCAGGTGATCTCAAAGAGATCCTCTACAGATACTGCAAATGTGAAAATGCTACATCCATACCAGATTCCTCTGGCATCTGGCCAGTCACGGGCCATTCCAGCACATGTTAATAAAGGGGACACTGGCTTATCAAACAGAAAGTGGTCCTGTAGGTCAAAAGGGATAAAGCAGAGAGGAGAGACTGATGAGGTCAAGCAGGACTGCAAGTGGCAGGTGAGTAAGTTTCAACTCAATTCTAATGACTGCTGTCTCTTAGGTGGTGGTTCTTAGCCTTGACTGCTCAGTAGAATAACCTAGGAGCCTAAACAAACTAATGCCTACTTCCCATCCCCAGAGATTCTGACCTAGTTGTTCTAGACTGTGTCTGGGCATCAGGTTTTTTAAAAGACTCTTTCAGGTGATTTTAGGGTGCAGCTAATGTTTGAAAACACTAGTTTAGTCCATATGGAACTCAGTAAATCACTATGGAGTAGGTATACACACTACCAACACCAACCCTATGCAATGGCTGAATGAGCAATGAATGGGGGGCGCTGTCCTGAAAAGGCTTTTGTACACAGTGGTCATTCTCTGTTTCTAGCATTATTGCTTCATGTATTTCTTTCATTAAAAAGTATTAGAGATGTACAATAATGATCAATAAATTAAAATAGCTACCATTAATACTGTTCCAGGCTCTAGATCACAGGCTTTTATTTCCTTTAATCTTCACAACTATGAAATAAGTGTTATTCTATTTTATAAATGAGGAAAACAGATTCAGAGAGATCATACAACTTGTCCAATAGGGTGATTGTGGGAAGCAGCAGAATATAGATTCAAGTATAGACTTTATGACTCCCAGGCTTGTGCTTTAACCACTGGAATGTACTACTCCACATATCAAAGTCAAAGTCGAGACTAACTTTTTTTTTGCAGTGTGTATACCACTGTTTCTTTCATAGCTACACACATACTCTACAGTGAGACATATGGAAACTGTATATTCAAATATGATTACACTGAGGTAAGAAAACAAGTGGATGTGGAGAGAGGAGTCCTACAGTCTCTAAGGGGGAGAGATCAGCCAGGAGAGGATGTGAACTGCCACCATCCAGAGAGCAGCAGCAGGTTTCCCTTAAGCAGGAAACCAGGGTGGCTACTTGAGGTGGAGGGAGGCTTGTTCTGTAACGGGGCAGGAGAATAATTGGCCTAGTGGTCACACAGAGACCAGGAGTAGCCCATAGGCCATATAGTTGTCCAGTCTGGTTTGGAAATGAGGCATATTTCTTAGCATTTGCATCTTTTGAAATGACAAAATTTTGGTTCTGCGTTTTTTTAGAGTTTAGTTAAAAGTTACTTTTGAAAGTGCTATCTTGGCCGGGCGTGGTGGCTCAAGCCTGTAATCCCAGCACTTTGGGAGGCCAAGGCAGGTGGATCACGAGGTCAAGAGATCGAGACCATCCTGGTCAACATGGTGAAACCCTGTCTCTACTAAAAATACAAAAATTAGCTGGGCATGGTGGCGTGTGCCTGTAATCCCAGCTACTCAGGAGGCTGAGGCAGGAGAATTGCCTGAACCCGGGAGGCGGAGGTTGCGTTGAGCCGAGATCGCGCCATTGCACTCCAGCCTGGGTAACAAGAGCGAAACTCCTCCTCAAAAAAAAAAAAAGGAAAGAAAGAAAGTGCTATCTTGTTTTAGCTATGATAAGGTGAAAATAAGTAAGGGACTTGAGTTTTGTGCACTCTGGTGCCAGAGGGAAGCCATGGTGGACACAGTGGAAGCAGCAGGAATCAACCCCAGCAGGAAATGCAGAGGCTGGCACCACGTGAGTCAGGGCTGGCCTCCTACCTGGAAATTCCTTTGGCTATGATAATAGAGACCATCTTCTGGGCACAGACAGGATTTCCACACCTAACTTCCCATTTATGAACAAGCTAGGAGATCCTCCATTCAATCTCCACCCCGCCCCCCACCCCCTCCATGCACAGGCACCATCTCCATATTGGAGCTTCCTATGCAGATTTTATCCATGGAATATTTCAGTGGCTTGACAAGTACAATGTAAGGCCTCATCTTTCTTTCTTACAGTGAATAAGTAGATGCCCTTGGGCTGAGCCCAGCAAGCTCCCGGCCAGGGTAAGGGCTGAGCTGAGCACCAGGAGAGGCCTTCCTGTACACGTCAGAGCCCCACATCCAGCCCTTCTCTAGGGATCTCCATCTGTTACTCACATCGATAAGCCGCTGCTGGTCCTGCTCCGTCATCTCAGACAGCCTGTAGTAGCGGCCGGCCAGGTCTCCCTTGAGGCCCTCCAGGGCCATGATGGCCACGTTCTCCACCTCCCTCCGCTCAGCCCGGGTGCAGGCAGGTGGTAGGCTCAGCCCACGGATGCTGCGGCCTGTGCGTACCCGAGATGACAGCACATAGTGCTCATCGAACTGCCCTTGGGTGATCTGCCAAGCAGAGTATGGGGTCATGGCGGCCAGCCTCCGACCACGGGCCTGCCACAGCCACAGTTGTTTCCAATCTGCAGTTTCCCAGGGGACCCTCAGGCACTGTGCACAACTGCACAATCCATAAGTTGGACACATTCTGGAAGTCTTGGGGCAGGGGCCTTCGACTAGCAAAGGGGAGAGCTGTTTTATATAGTGTGGTCTGAGGTCCTTGACCCTAACTGGACGGTTTGGGATGAAAAAGGGAATAGCTTTGGAAAAGGTTTAAATTTCCCAATGACCAACCTTTCCCTAGTTGTATTTATTAAAGAAAACAAAGACTTTGGGAATTTCCTCACCTCTCGTCTGTGGCCCTCCAGTGGGCAGGCTGTGCTAGGGCAGTCACAGCACTTTGCAGGGGTATCGACACAAGATGGGGAGCCCTTTCTCTCCAGGGCTCCTCCCCTTAGGCTCTGGAGTGCAAGCTTCATGGGAAAGGAGAAGGAGGCAGGAGCCTACCTTGGATGCATCCAGGTCAGTTGGGTGCTTCATCACCCTGGGGTCATAGCCATTGTGTCTTAGTTTGATGACGGGGTCAAAAAGGTCAGCAAACACCTGCAGGAGGGAAGATGCGTGTTTCCTCTTTAATTGGTTCACCTACTGTTCAAAGACCTTTCCATTCACTTGCTCTTTATATCTTAAAAGCCAAAGTTGATGCCTCACTCCTCTGACATCCTTGGGACTATCATATAGGAAATGGATGTGAGAATGGATTGGTTAATGATAATAACAAGAGGGAAAACCTTTTGGAGGCATCTTGCCTCTTGAGACAGGGTGAGGCTGCTGAGTCCTGCCAGCTTACCCTCCCCCCCCCCCCGAGTGATCTGCCAAAATCACTGCCATCAGACCGAGCAAGAAAATTCTCATGGTTAGGAATTTAAAGGGTTTCCTAGACGTGTTTGCCTTTGTGGGTTACAAGAAGCCACCAGATCGGAGGCTACAGTTTTATGCTCAAAGGGAAAGTCAGTTTCTAAAGGTTAAGCCACATACTAAATTTGTTGAAAACCTGACTGTGCCAGAAGAAAGTACACAGCAACAGCTAGGGCGAAGCAGGGAACCCTCACCCTGTGAGGACCTTTCCCAGCCCACACGATCTCCTGCAAAATCTTATTTAAAAACAACAAAACTTCAGGCATATCCTTTGTTTTTTTAAAAAATAAAAAATAAATAAATAAATAAATAAATTGTAACAAAGCACCCTGCAGACTTTAGGAGCTGTGGAAAGTAGGGAGGGCTTTGGGTCCAGAGAGCTACCACTAGCTTGGGACTCAAACTAGACCCAGGATTGTGCGCTGCTGTATGTAAATGAGCCACAAGTTGTGTTTTTTTCCCCAAGATGGCTCCCTCTCCTCTGGCTGTCTTTCTAGGGAACTGCCTTCAGTTCCCTGCAACAGAAGAACCCAAAAGGGTGGACCTGAAGGAGGAGGTCTGCAGGCATTTGCCTCGGCAGAGAGGCTACTCTGGAGGGGATGCATGGTGGCTGCATTCTGTTCCAGCCGACCACTCTGCTTCTGCACGGAGGATGAGGATGGTGAGATCATAGGGTTTATCCAAGAGACTTGGTGAATTCAATAGTCTGGGTTAACAGTAATTGCCTAGTCAGTAATAGAGAATTCAGTAATAGAAGTTGTAATAAGAAGCGAAGTCCTCATTTTCCTAAAGATTGACCCCACTCAATAAAGCTCAGCCACAAACACATCAGCTTCTAATGTCTTATTGGTGAATACATGCCATTCGATTTTATTGTTTCTGTACCACTCATCCCCTTGACAAGCTCAGAGAGTTCTGTCATGCAGTTCATTCCTCCACAGGGAGGGATCCTAGCACAGCAGCAAGGGAAGCCTTGTCCCTGGAAGCTATAGACCTCATTGTTTCAGAAAGCATTCCAGGTGATTCTTCTGGAGCTGGCTTCCCTTTATGGGAGCCCTTCTGGAGAAGGCAAAAAGTTGGCCCCATAGACAAGAGAAGGACCCCAGGACTGTGCAGTTCAGTCATATCCAGAGCATCCCTCCCACCCTGGAACTAGCAGCCAACAGTTTTACCTCGTAGGACTCCTCGTCACCAGCCACCATGCCCACAGTCTTTATGAAGGGGTGTCCAGGGTTGTCTACTCCAGTCTGGATGCACTGGTCCAGGGTGTAGCCATTGGGCGTCACCTTGTTGCGAAGCTTGGCGTAGATGGCAGGGGTGAGGCACTCGGCCATGCAGTTGTTGTGCTTGCGCAGGTCTGGGTAGTCTGCGCTGTGTGGGGAGGGGGGCAGGCTGTCAGCCAGCAGCCCTCAAGGAAAGGAGCCAATGTAAGGACTTGGTGTTTGCCCATCCTTCCACTAGGCTCCCTTTAGCCAGTGGGCACAGGGATACTTGGCTAGAACTGCCCAGGAGTCATAAATGAGTAAGCCAGGTTTCAAAAAATAGTCCCAGAGAAAGGAGCCTGGCCCTAAGAATCTCATGATGCTTGCTGTAGAAGCCCACAAACCGTGGGTCATGTAAAAAGGGATAAAGTGAACATAATACAAGAATTAATTGAGATTGTATGCAGCCTCCATTCCCGCCCCCACCAGAAGTTTTGGTAAAACATTAACAACAGCCACATTTTGGTCCCGTAGGTTAGTAGTGGAGAGAAACCCTGCAGGTGGAACTGCATAGAAATACGTGTATTTCTGTCCTTTGTTTATCATGCAAGCTCTACGAGAGCAGGGATTTTGCCTTTTTGAGAACAGTCCCTGGCTCTTGAAATCAGTGTTCAGTAAATATCTGTGGGACTAATAGAGAGAAAATTGGGTGCTGTTTCACTCTGGGGTATGTCCTGGTTGAGGAATAGGAGATTGAGGACCACCACAGCCTCAAATACAGGTCATGTCACCTCAGGAATTCCCAAGGTACATGGTGGTTGCTGGTGATTGATTCCCTCAGATGCTGATTTCCACAACAGACAAAGTGTCTCTGAGAGACACTTCCGTGGTTTTCCTCGTCTCTCTTATCCACACCTGCCTAAGAGGAATTCTGCATGCCACTCAAACTCTGCTCAGCGTATGGTGTCTCATCCATGGCAGGGTTCCAAGAGCTGAGAAAAACATGCCCATTTTTACCCCCTCACGCCACTCCTCCACTTCCCATCTGCAGTGTCCTTTAGAGCTGATACTTAAAATCAATACTACAACAGAGGCATGGTTCTGGAATTAGGGGGCCTGGATTTGCATTTGGCTGCAGTAGCTATGTGAACTTGAGCACTGTTTAATTTTCGTAGGCCTTCATTTCATCACAAGCTAAGACGAGTAACAGATACTCCATGTAAAGTGCTGGTCATATATGAAAGTGCTCCACAAATGTTAACTATCCCTATTAATACCATTCAACTGGATTGCAAGCTCTAGGCAAGCACGATGATGCTACACTTCTTTGTATACACCACGGGTCACAGGCTTAATGAGTCTCAAAATGATTTTGCATTTTACTTAGTCATTCTCAAAAGCAAAAAGAAGGAATCTTGCTAACAGTTTCGAGCAGGGGAAAGCATATTTCTTGCTGACCTTTGAAGGTTTTTTGTTTGTTTTGTTTGAGACGGAGTCTCACTCTGTTGCCAGGCTGGAGTGCAGTGGAACGATCTCGGCTGACTGCAACCTCCGCCTCCCAGGTTCAAGTGATCCTCTTGCCTCAGCCTCCCGAGTAGCTGGGACTACAGGTGCCCGCCACCATGCCAAGCTAATTTTTTGTATTTTCAGTAGAAATGGGGTTTCACCATGTTGGCCAGGATGGTCTCGATCTCCTGACCTCGTGATCTGGCTGCCTTGGCCTCCCAAAGTACTGGAATTACAGGTGAAAGCCACCGCGCCCAGCCTGAAGTTATTTTAAAGCCAAGGGGCCTTACCTTGCAGGAAATAGCCTGGGCTGCTCCCGGGCCTCGGCACACACCTTCTGCCGGTTCAGCAGGTAACCAGTGGTGAGGGCACTAGTGCCCATGGTAGCAAACAGCAGAGAAGCATTGCGGCCAGTTAGCAATTTAGAAAAGATACTGGCCATCCTTTCTCTTGGATGAGTGTCTGGAAAGCAAAGAAGCTGGATTAGATAGCCTCATAGGATGACCCTGCACAGCATAGAGGTCAACAGGCAAGAGAGAAAACTGCAGAAACCATAGCACAGCCCCTCTTTCTGGGAGGTTGAGGGTGTGTGTGTGTGTGCATGTGTGTTTATTCGTTCGTTCTGTTTCTTGCTTTTTTTCTTCATATTGCTTGGGAAAATCTGGGTAGTTTTAGACATTAATGCAACTTTCTGAACTCCATGCCTTTTCTCTGTTAATATGATAAAAAATTAACCACAGCAGAGGATGGCTTCTTCCAGCTGTTTGACAGACCAGGTGCTCTTTTGAACTTTGCCACTAGACCACAACTAGACCCTGAACAGGATGGATTTCTGGACTTCCAAAAGGTAGGAGAAATTTCTGAGGACCACCCTCCCCCTCTGCTAAAGTTGGGATGCCAGCAATGGGGATGGGGACTGAGACTGGGATTCCCTCATTGGAGTAGGACCTTTGAAAGAGATTGAAGTGGCACAAAGTCAGCAGACCTCATCCTCTGACTCCCACCTGAAGCAGGCCTAAAAGCTCTTGGAGGAAATTATATTTAGTTTAGGCCCTGGATTCCTACAGATTAAGATGAAAGAACAAACCCCCAAAGATCACCAAACACACAAAGAGGTGCAGTGAATAAGAGTCAACAGAAGAAATAAAAGATTTAGCCTGCTAACGACTGAAGATGCTTAGAACTGTCAAATAATAATATAAATAAGCCCTAGATTGAATGTTTAAAGAACTAAGTGTGAAATCATAATTATGAGCAAGCAACAAGAGACTATTAAGAATGACCAAGCTGCCCATTCAAAAATGGGCGAAGGATATGAACAGATACTTTACAAAAGAAGACATACAGGAGGCCAACAAACATGAAAAAAATGCTCATCATCACTGGTCATTAGAGAAATGCAAATCAAAACCACATTGAGATACCATCTCACACCAGTTAGAATGGTGATCATTAAATCTGGAAACAACAGATGCTGGAGAGGATGTGGAGAAATAGGAACACTTTTACACTGTTGGTGGGAATGTAAATTAATTCAACCACTGTGGAAGACAGTGTGGCGATTCCTCAATGACCTAAAAATAGAAATCCCATTTGACCCAGCAATCCCATTACTGAGTATATATCCAAAGGATTATAAATCATTCTAGTATAAGGACTCATGCACATGAATGTTCATAGCAGCACTGTTTACAATAGCAAAGACCTGGAACCAACCCAAATGCCCAACGATGATAGACTGGATAGGGAAAATGTGGTACATATACACCATGGAATATTACGCAGCCATCAAAAACGGTGAGTTCACATCCTTTGTAGGGACATGGATGAACCTGGAAACCATCATTCTCAGCAAACTGACAAGAGCAGAAAATCAAACACCGCATGTTCTCACTCATAGGCAGGTGTTGAACACTGAGAACACATGGACACAGGGAGGGGAGCACTACACATTGGGGTCCGTTGGGGGGAAATGGGGAGGGGTGGGGAGGTGGGAAGAGATAGCATTGGGGAGAAATGACAGATGCAGGCAAGGGGACGGAAGGCAGAAAACCACACTGCCAGGTGTGTACCTATGCAACAATCTTGCATGTTCTTCACATGTACCCCAAAACCTAAAATGCAATTAAAAAAAAAAAGTCGGCCGGGCGCGGTGGCTCAAGCCTGTAATCCCAGCACTTTGGGAGGCCCAGGCGGGTGGATCACGAGGTCGAGAGATCGAGACCATCCTGGTCAACATGGTGAAACCCCGTCTATACTAAAAATATAAAAAATTAGCTGGGCATGGTGGCGTGTGCCTGTAATCCCAGCTACTCAGGAGGCTGAGGCAGGAGAATGGCCTGAGCCCAGGAGGCGGAGGTTGCGGTGAGCCGAGATCGCGCCATTGCACTCCAGCCTGGGTAACAAGAGCGAAACTCCGTCTCAAAAAAAAAAAAAAAAAAAAAAAAAGTCAAACAAGCAAACAAAAAAGAATGACCAAGCTGATTTGAAAGAACTAAATTAAACTACACATTATGACACAGCTGAACATAGAACAGATGAACTGGAAGATATTAAGAAATTACTCAGACTATATCACAGAGAAATGAGAAAATGGAAAATAGATATAAATTAAGAGAGATGATGGATAGAATGTCAAGCTCAAATACACATCAAATTGAAGTCCCAGAAAGAATAGAGAAAACAGAGAAGTCAAATTTGAAGAGGAATAACTGAGACATTTTTAGAACTGATGAAAGACAAGAATCCATGATTCAAGAGGTATAACATAATCTAAGTAAACAAAAAAAATTGACACCTAGACAAATAATAATGAAACTGCAGATTATCGGTGACCAAGATGTGAAAAGCAGTCAGAAAGAAAAGACACTTTACCTACAAAGAAATGACAAACATGAGCTGATTTTTCAGTGATGAGCCCAGGTAAATATTTTTTAGAACCCAATAACTATTAACATAGAACTGGGGAACTAGTCTAACCATTTTTTCAAAAATGAGAGTGAAAAACATATTGATAAAAAACATCAATAACAAAGGAATTACTAAACTATCTGCTTGAGAAAGAAAGGAAATGACAGCAAAAGGAAAGCCTAAAATGCAGAAAATGGAGAAAGCACATATAAATCTAAATAATATTTATATACTTATTTATAATACAGGTACTAAACTACCAATAAATGATGAAAAACAGGATGAACATGCATGGACAGAAACCCTGCTGGGTCTGCTAGTGCCCCGAGATTAGATGGGCCAATTAGCCCTACAGTGTTACCTAGCAGGAGCTATGCAACATGGCTCTTTAAGTAGAGAACAAAAGAGCAGGTACCTCTCAGTACTTACTCTCTGATGTTCATGATGCCCATATAAAGAGTGTATGGGCCAGCCACAGTAGTTCACGCCTATAATCCCAGCACTGGGAGGCTGAGGTGGACAGATCAATTGAGGCCAGGAGTTTGAGATCAGCCTGGCCAACATGGCAAAACACTGTCTCTACTAAAAATACAAAAAATTAGCTGGGTATGGTGGCATGCATCTGTAGTCCCAGCTACTCAGGAGGCTAAGGCATAAGAATCACTTGAACCCAGGAGGCGGAGGTTGCAGTGAGCCAAGATGACACCACTGCAATCCAGCCTGAGTTACAGAGTGAAACTCTATTTAATAAAAAGTAAAAGTATGGATTTCTCTAACATTTGGAAGGCTCCCAAGACTCAGCTGGAAGATGCTCCAAGCTTAGATGGTTTGATGGCTTCAAAGAACTTGCTGATGTGGAAGGCTGTAGCTGAAAACCTGGGCCATCCAGTGAAGGATAAACAACTCTTCCAAAAAGTTGAACCATCATTTGGAAGTTTCTACTAAACCTGAATGTCCCCACTAAAAGCATCAAAAACCTTGAAAACATTTGAGAAGTTGTTTATCTGCATTAGCCCAGGGAATCAGATTAGTTCTTCCATGCTAGTATCTGCCAACAATTCTTTTAATTCTAAGGACAACATAAGTTACTAAGAGCAGACAAATTGGTCATTTCTTGAAGTTGTCCTGGGGACTTGTAAAGACCCAACATTAAATCTGATCACGTAAACTTTGCTCCCCTACTAGATTTCAGGTTGTCCTGTAAGTATCCCTCCGAGAATAGATAACGGCTCTTCAAGGAGCTGCACCAGTGCTTCCTGGTCCGTGCATGCAGCAGGCAACACCAGCATACGTCCTTTGGGCTATCTTATCTACTGTCACACCCTCAAATCCACTTTCTAAGGAGAGAGAGGCAATGCCGTCACTCTAGAGGTTTACTATAGAACTGACCAAAGTCAAAGAAGCTCTGCCCAGATTCTTTCCAGGCAGTATGGGCCTAAACATAAGCCAGACTGGTCTTCCTAAGCTATCAGGAAGTACATTCCTTTCTGGGATTTACCCAAATATCTTGATCTTTTCCTTTCCTTAAATTGCCTATCCACTGATAAAGTGTTCAAGTCAGAGTCTGTTTGAGAGGATCTTAGGAAACAGAGCCAAGAGGAAGGGGAGGGAATGGTCTCCATGTACAGCCACATGACCACTGGAAGTTTTCAAAGGTCTTCCTCCCTATGAGGGTGATGTGTGGGTGGGCATCTGGCTCAAAATGTAATATCTGAAGTGTCATCCATATGTTAGTTCCTAGAAGGAACTAATTTATTCTAATTAATTTATAATTAGTTATTAATTTATTCTAAGAGTTCCAACACTGCCCTTGTATCTGAGCAACAAAGTATGATTCATGCAGATAATCCTGGGGAGGCTTTGGTCGAGACTAGCAAAGCTATCTTGAAACTGAAATTCCTCCGTATCCTTGCTTTGATTCCTTGAAGAGAATTGATACAGACTCCAAGTTTTAGTGAAGCAAAGAATTCCTGCTTCCTTAACTCTGATTTTCTCTTGCCAGGACACAAAGAGGCATTGAATTTCACCATTAGGCCTTAATTAGTAACCTTGTTTGTGAAATTGACACAAAGGTCTCAGTGAAAGGCTGGCAATGGCTGTTCTATGCTCTCAAGACCCAGAATCAAGGCTTGCAATGAAATCACTTTTCCTCATGACTAAACTAAATCTCTCTTGCATGTTAAAAGTCTTTTAAAAGCTGTGCAGTCAGAACATTGCTTTGGCTTTCACATTTCCCTGTTACCTGGCAGGCCCCAAATGTTACATAAGCGTTCTCTGCAGCTGTAACCCCTACCTAGAAGAGGCTTGACTTGTTATTTGCACACATGATAACATGTGGCGTAAATAAGAAAAGCTGGGAAGATGTATGTTTGTAAGGGGTTATCTGTGTCTACCAAAGCAGATAGTATTTAGATATATTGACTTAAAACATGGTTTTAAGTCAGTATATCTTGTGCAACCATTAGGACAGAAGTTTGGAACAAAAAGAAATCCGAGGCTCACTTGCAGAGCTTTTTTAATGTTTTCAATTCCCTCCATGTTCTGGGCATTAT